ATTTTGGACAATCGATTACCATTTGTTGATTATATATATATATATATATATATATATATATATATATATATATATATATATATATATATATGGTATATAAAATATACATCTAAAATCACTTTTGCATTTCTATTTTGCAGAGTATATAGAGAAGCTATGGCGTTTTACCGTTTATATTAGCGTACAGTAACGTGATGTACAGCTTATGCCAATCTATACAATCATAAACTTTACGGAAGTCTATAAATGCAGCAAAGTAGACTTTTAGATCTTCACTGTATTTGGTTAACCTATTGTTGTGAATGCAGTGCCGTAGCCAGGCGGGGGACGGAACGGATCTCTGCTGTCTTCAGTTGACGACTTGGGAATAGGGTTTATCATCCTTCCGGTCCAACTCGTTTGAATAGAGCCAGTGCTGAAGCATGCCGTTAAAACACTTTCCCCACTGCAAACAGGACGAACCGGGATTCGAACCCCCAAGCATAGGTTTCTGGCGTGCCCAAAGGATGCAACTCTGCACAGCGAATTGCGACGCCTTAGACGACTGGGCCACCCGTGCCACCCTTAGTACTTGAAAATTGCTAAAACTATCTAACGATTTGTAAGGAACATTACCTGTGTTGTATATATAATACTGGTGAGGAGTCAATGTATGTCAAGATGTCAAGTCTTTGGCTAATGGGATCTTGTCACGTAACCTTGATTGAACATCAATCACGTAATATTAACCTTGTAAAATATTTTCTTTCTCCGTTTTCAATAAAAGTAGAAAACGAACATGGTATGAAAACAAAACTAGTAATATTTTTTCACGACAATGACTTCCTGAAACAGTTGTTATTGTTTTCAAGGAACAAAGGGTATTTAGTTGACACAGTGGTAAAGTTATTAATGGTTTTTATCATGATTAATCTTTTCAAATTAAAAGCTAGATTGTTTTATATTATATGATGAACGAAATCAGTGGACACATGCAGACTTTAAAAGAAAATGAAACCCACAACCTTGTGAGTGCGTATTTGCTTTTAACCTTGAACCATACTTCTCTTTGAAATTACCTCCCTAATGCTAATGCATTTACTCTCGAGGCTGACACGTCAATTATTCACGCTGACCTCGCTATACGTAAACTGTGTCAACGTTTCCCTCATAGCGATCCTGTATGTAGTCTGTCTTACAGACCCTGATACAAATATATATCAAATACAGCTCATGCAAGTCTATAATGTTTGGCAAGTCTAGATCACTGCAGTATTTCCAAGAAATTATAGCTCTGCAGATTTGTTTAGTCTCTGAAAATGAAGAGAGTCACTGGGCTCCTATTTATTATATTTTTATTAAGATAACTGAACAACTGTTTTTTTATGTACGATATGTTCATTTCAGAGACTAGATGTTAGTCTATCCTGTATGCTGAAGGTCCATTCCCGACCCTCTCGACGGACAGACCACGCCACGCGGAAATGGGTCAACGTTTCTCGCATAGCGGTATGGGGAAAGGGCAAGACCGCTACCCCGCCCTTCGCCTCCTAGCGGCTGTAGGCGAGGAGCACCAGCGCTCCGGGGCAGGCAAACCAGTCTAGGACATAGCGTGACTCCCTCTTCTGATTGGGCTTCACTAACACAAACATGTTTAGTGTAATAATGTACAGTTAGGAAATTGTTCCTAACCATGTATGTATTCCGCATGTACGCATATCAGTATACGTATGTGAGACAAAGATCAAGTTTCTTTTAAAAGTTTGTTTACATCCTTCAAACTATAACTCATCCCCATGTAACGTTCTCGCAAGGCGCCGTGTAATAACATGTCGATTCATCTGTGTAGTTCTATTTCAACACTGCAACAGGATATTGTGATATGGATATTAAAAAAAATAAATAAACAAACTAACCAATCTGTGCTTGTGATCCATGCTTCAAAGATAGGGATCATCCTGGTTATTTCGTCACTAATGTCGATCACAGGTTCAAACATGTAGGAGTTCACTTGTACTCCTTCCTCAGAAACCACCAATTCATCTTCCGAAAAACATTCATATTCCATGATAACTCGGATACTATTGCCACTGACAGAGTTGGACATACATGCATGCGATTTGAGCTCACGATACCGCAAGGAGGAACTATGTTAGTACGATCGCTGATTCATCATTTTATACACATTTCATCGAATATTTGGACGAAGAAAAGTCTCACAACAAAATATATGAAATTACCGAAACAATAAACGCAATTGAAGAAATACTGTGTTTCGCACATCGCTTTCTCACCGAATAGTGAGCTTAATTTGTGATATAAATGGCCTTTGTCGCATTTCCTTGTTTAAAGAAAGAGGAGTATATTTTAATCCTTTGCTCCCTCTCATACATTTTATTCCAGTTGATCACTCGTAATGGACCCTATATTGGTGAAATATATACTTAATGATTGTGGACTTACTGACTTGTTTGATAACTCGTATGTATGTTCTACACAATGGTGGCTTAAAAGGTCGAGCAAATATTTAAAGATCACCAAAACTAGCGCAGCTCTTTTAAGGAACATTCAAAGGGGTTTGTACTACAAACAATTTAAAAAAACATTATCTTTAAGTATCACTCCTTGCCCAAAAATGTTTACTACCCGATTCTTAAATTTAGAACTAATAGCCACAACTTGCCAATTGAAACCGGCGCTGACACAACATTCCGGGAATGTCTCCTGCTGTCGGGGTGACTCTCTGGTCAGATGTAAAACTCTTCTCCAGAAACGAACTATTGACAGTCCTGAAGTAAGCTATGAATGGCCAAATATGTACAAATTAAACAAACTGTACTGTGAAGAATCTTTCTATATTTATCAATGTACTGTTTAAACATGTTACCGCTGAAACATCATTTCCAGTCCTGTCATATTGAATGTATTGAATGAATATGTGTATGCTCAGGTGTGTAGGTGTGTTTTTGAGTAAATAAATTGAATTGAATTGGCTTTGCAGGGGGCATGTGTAACCGTGAAAGGAGGCGTGCTTGCTTGGGTGCTCCATTTGAGATTTTCGACACTTCGGGTCGACACCAATCTCATTTTTTAAACCAGATCTTAGTTCTCGCTGACGTAAAACAAAGATCTGAGGACATCCCATTACCGGTCATGTCAAAACGTCCTTTCGCGAACTTTGACCGACTAATGAAATGGCTTACATGAAGTCGACATTAGTCAATCAGAAAGCAGCATTTTCAAGCTATACGGCACTAGTTTCAAACTGGCGACTACGCTTTGAACCACAAATTCTCGATTCAAAATTTAAGATAATGAACCAAAGAATATTCTGGAATGTCTGATAAATGGCCCAGGTTATATGGTAGTACTTACTACGGGCAATTCAAAGTATCTTCCCTTCACATGATTATCCCATAGAAGCAAGAGATAGGCGGATTCAGTCGTAAAGCCCGTAACTGTCGTTCGGAATACCACGTGTTACATTTTGTTAGGTTGCATTGTGTAGAAACACACTCCGACTGTCACACTCCTGATTCATTTCAGAGCTGAGGCAATCTAGACTTGCCAAATCATTCTAGACTTGAGTTGGACTCCTTTTCAATTTATTCTCTAGGGTCTGGGACATAAGACTATTACAATCTATTCAATTCTACAAAGTTGTACATACCCATGAGACGTGCACTTTAAAGTCCCAGTGTGTGCGACGACACATTTGTTTTGAACCTCTCTCCAGTAGTCCCTACAGCTTTCTGTGATATTTGGAGGCTATCACGGGGGTATTCTTTGGGCCATACTTTAAAAAACTTACGGTTTACGAATCGGCCAAACAACATATAAAATGGGGACATGACTAGTAGTGTTATGTTTTTATTCCGCCGACCAGAAATAAGTAAAATGTTATTTAAAAAAACTCATTTAATGTCTCTATCAATATAAATAAACTATCTAAAATACTACAAATAAAGCCTGTTTTTGCAGATCCTTATCCATAATACTAGATGTACTAAGGATTTCGCGATATATTCAGGTTATGCATTTTTGGAAATATGGCTGTATTAGATGTTAGAATTGTATTTTGGGGAGGAAATGACAGACCGATGGTAAGCAAAGAGGTAAGTGTGTATCATTGCATGTCATCGTATCCAAATTGCGTGGATCGATGCTCATGATGTCAATCACTGAATTGTCTGGTCTAGACTCGATTATTTACAGGCTGCCGTCATACAGCTGGAACGTTGCTGAGTGCGGCGTTAAACAAACATTGTGTTGATTGAGTTTTATTTATGCGTAATTAGTCACGTCACAACTCCCGCACGTTGATTTTGAGCAAGCTGGGCGCTTAGGAAGTGTGTTTTTTGTGGGGGTTTTCCTGACAGGAGTCAGTTTTCTTCATCATTTTCGGATAAATATTTCTCTCTCCTTATGAAAACGAGAAAAAGTAACATGAAATGCGATCACGTGCGCGCTTTAACGGGGGTTTGCGATAATTGGTCCTCGCCGATAACTGGTCACTACATCTATATACGTCTTTGGTGTCGGTTAGCAAGGATTATGACAACTTTATAGAGTTACTGTCATCCCTCTGAGTTGAGTTTCTCGCAGGGATCAAAATGTTCGACTTTGATATTGTCAGCAATATTTTATTCATTTCTATGACATTCATTAATATAAGGAAGAGAATTTATGGATGTCAACTACTTTATTATGAGGAACACAACGTTTCGGAGTATATGCTTACTCCATCATCAGGTGAATGAAGGAGTAAGCATATACTCCGAAACATTGTGTTTCTCCAGAGACCATATAATATCTATTATATGGTCTCTGGTTTCTCATAATAAAGAAGTTGACATCCATAAATTCTCTTCCTTATGTTTATCACTTCTAAATGCCTTTCAAAGACCTTCATTAATGTAGTTATCAAGCCTTAAAGTTGACAACTAAAGCAGTAGGCTGCTATTGCAATACAATCTGAATGTTAAAAATGGCCCGAATAGTCAACCCTAGTCACGTGACCACCTATCATGTTTCTCTGTGTGAGACGGTGCGACCTAGTTACACATGGCAAGCTGGCGCATCCTGAACAGAGCGAGCAGAAACCAAGTCTCGAATATTCGCAGGTACTGTCAAAGCCAGAGTACGAGTCTAGGTAGCTTGAGGTGGCGCTAAATGGAGGACCAAAGAGTCAGACGGGTACGTGGTTCATGTGTGACTTCGTTTCGTTGCAGTCTCTGTCGTGTCCGCCCCCAGCATATCAGCGCTATAGTGTAGACACTCGAACATGTCAGGGAAATATTGATCCTCGCTATACCGCGATTGTATGTTGTACTTTCCTAAAAATGAGGCTGCCAACCACCTTTTGGTACACGGGATTTGGGAGGTCTATTCAGAGGGTGTCAGGGAATCCGCAGTGTGGTACGCGAAACGAAAAATAAATTTTATTGTATTTGGAAGGCAGATATTCAACATGAAACAAGCATGATCGTGTACGTAAATAATTTTTTCGGTATTCTTTTTTCAATTTTTTTTTTCCATAACTTAGCTTCAAATGGCACCCTTTTTCTAAATGCTTTTGAGATTTGTGTTAAGTAGTATTCAGGATTCAGGGATGAGCAGTGACACACAAGAGTGAAAAATTCGATGGTATTTGGCATTCAGGGGAGGAGGGTGTTGCACATGGCACGTACCCCCCTTAATGTATGAGTAACTAGGAGGTATAGTAGTCATGCGTTTTATATGCATCCTTTGTAAAATTATGCCAATTCAGTATATTGATATAATAATAAATGTCAAAGCTTCCAGACCTAAGCGTTCTCTCCGCTATTGCGCCTACTTGTATAGACGGCCCCACTTTGTCAGTCGTATTTGCTGAATAATGGCAAATCTATATCTTCATGCCATCCATAACGTGTGTCTGCCTAGCAACTAACATCGGCTGTTACCTTCAGTTTCTAGTATTTCCATTTCACGTCTACTCAGATTATTGATAGCTTGAAAAATGTAAACGATCACGTCATAACGCTCATGACACTGTGTTGAAATCTAGGTGAGTTGTTTTGCAATGTCCAGCTAGTGAGGTGAGTGAGTTGGGGTTTTAACGCCGCTTTTAACAGTATTCCAGTTATATCACGGAGTGTCAGCTTAATGTGGGAGGAAAGCCCGAAGTGATGCAGGTCTCAGACGTTTACCACTTCGGTGAAACCCACGAGCACGGGTATGGTGCTGACAAACCTAGGAACATAATCGGGGCGAACCGGGATTCGAACCCACAATCATAGGCTTCTGGCGTGCCCAAGGGACGAGCTAGTGAGGATGTGTGTTTGTCTATATGATTGGCAAGGGTTGGTCCTGTCAACAACTCAGCTCAAGGTGGAGGACGGACATTGAATAAACCTCCGGGGATATTGTGAGTAAGTATCTAGCCACACAATGAAGGGATAATGTCTGTATCTAGCCACACAATGAAGGGATATTGTCAGTAAGTATCTAGCCACACAATGAAGGGATAATGTCTGTATTTAGCCACACAATGAAGGGATATTGTCAGTAAGTATCTAGCCACACAATGAAGGGATAATGTCTGTATCTAGCCACACAATGAAGGAATATTGTCAGTAAATATCAAGCCCAACAATGAAGGGATATTATCAGTAAGTATCTAGCCCAACAATGTAGGGATATTGTCAATAGGTATCTAGCCCGATTTTGAAGGGATATTGTCAGTAAGTATCTAGCCAAAAAATGAAGGCATATTATCAGTAAGTATCTAGCCCAACAATGAGGGGATACTGTCAGTAAGTATCTAGCCCACAATGAAGGGATATTGTCAGTAAATATCTAGCCCGATTATGAAGGGATATTGTCAGTAAGTATCTAGCCCGCCATGAAGGGATATTAATAGTAAATATCTAGCCTGACAATGAGGGGATACTGTCAGTAAGTATGTAGCCCACAATGAAGGGATATTGTCAGTAAGTATCTAGCCCACAATGAAGGGATATTATCAGTAAGTATCTAGCCTGACAATGAGGGGATACTGTCAGTAAGTATCTAGCCCGATTATGAAGGGATATTGTCAGTAAGTATCTAGCCACACAATGAAGGGATATTGTCAATAAATATCTAGCCCGATTATGAAGGGATATTGTCAGTAAGTATCTAGCCCAACAATGAAGGGATATTGTCAGTAAATATCTAGCCTGATTATGAAGGGATATTGTCAGTAAGTATCTAGCCCACAATGAAGGGATATTATCAGTAAATATCTAGCCTGACAATGAGGGGATACTGTCAGTAAGTATCTAGCCCACAATGAGAGGATACTGTCAGTAAGTATCTAGCCCGATTATGAAGGGATATTGTCAGTAAGTATCTAGCCACACAATGAAGGGATATTGTCAATAAATATCTAGCCCGATTATGAAGGGATATTGTCAGTAAGTATCTAGCCCAACAATGAAGGGATATTGTCAGTAAATATCTAGCCTGATTATGAAGGGATATTGTCAGTAAGTATCTAGCCAAACAATGAAGGCATATTGTCAATAGGTATCTAGCCCAACAATGAAGGGATATTATCGGTAAGTATCTAGCCCAATAATGAAGGGATATTGTCAATAAATATCTAGCCCGATTATGAAGGGATATTGTCAGTAAGTATCTAGCCCAACAATGAAGGGATATTATCAGTAAATATCTAGCCTGATTATGAAGGGATATTGTCAGTAAGTATCTAGCACCACAATGAAGGGATATTGTAAGTAAGTATCTAGCCCCACAATGAAGGGATATTGTCAGTAAGTATCTAGCCTAACAATGAAGGGATATAATCAGTAAGTATCTAGCCCAACAATGAGGGGATACTGTCAGTAAGTATCTAGCCCACAATGAAGGGATCTTGTCAGTAAGTATCTAGCCCAACAATGAAGGGATATTATCAGTAAGTATCTAGCCCAACAATGAGGGGATATTGTCAGTAAGTATCTAGCCCACAATGAAGGGATATTGTCAGTAAGTATCTAGCCTGACAATGAGGGGATACTGTCAGTAAGTATCTAGCCCAACAATGAAGGGATATTATCAGTAAGTATCTATCCCAACAATGAAGGGATATTGTCAGTAAGTATCTTGCCCACAATGAAGGGATATGTTCAGTAAGTATCTAGCCCAACAATGAAGGGATATTGTCAGTAAGTATCTAGCCTGCAATGAAGGGATATTGTCAGTATCTAGCCCACAATGAAGGGATATTGTCAGTAAATATCTAGCCCGATTATGAAGGGATATTGTCAGTAAGTATCTAGCCCACAATGAAGGGATATTATCAATAAATATCTAGCCTGACAATGAGGGGATACTGTCAGTAAGTATGTAGCCCACAATGAAGGGATATTGTCAGTTAGTATCTAGCCCACAATGAAGGGATATTATCAGTAAGTATCTAGCCTGACAATGAGGGGATACTGTCAGTAAGTATCTAGCCCACAATGAGGGGATACTGTCAGTAAGTATCTAGCCCACAATGAAGGGATATTATCAGTAAGTATCTAGCACCACAATGAAGGGATATTGCCAGTAAGTATCTAGCCCACAATGAAGGGATATTGTCAGTAAGTATCTGGCCCACAATGAAGGGATATTGTCAGTAAGTATCTAGCCCACAATGAAGGGACATTGTCAGTAAGTATCTAGCCTGACAATGAGGGGATACTGTCAGTAAGTGTCTATCCCAGAATGAAGGGATGCTGTCAGTATCTAGCCCACAACGAAGGGATATTGACAATAAATATCTAGCCCCACAATGAATACCGAAAGAAAATCTTGAATACCCAGTATGATTTATAACCTGGGAATAAATACTCAGTGGCTCAGATAATGCTCTCTGGGGATTGTACCCAGCAAAGTATGTCCACAAGAGCCTGTGCCAGGCCCGTAGAAGCAGCCCCTGTGTTTGTTTACGTGTGTTAGCACCTGTTTTCACACTGTCGTTAATTATCAGATATATCAACCGTCGTTCTGTGTCTGTTGCAGGTGAATACGTGGCTTGTGGGGAAGATTATGCAATAACCTCTGAACTTTGAACAAGAAACCGTGTCAGGGCCATTCAACATACAGATTAAACCATGAGACCATTAGGATTGTGTGGATCGTATCGCATCAGCCAATCACTGCCGGTGGCTCTTGCTTTGACAGAGCCAATCACGACGGTTCTCCTATCTCCCCTCCTAGTGGACTTGTATTCCCGCCCCGAGGTCATACTGAGTTGCAACAAACATTACGTCTTGTTTGTGGATTGTGTGTTCGTTATCACCACGATATGCAGCTTATTAGCTGTAGCATTTTGCATGAGCAATATTATTCGCCTATCGCCCAGGACAAACAAAGACATTGTGAAAAATTTGAAAAGTGCCTTCGTCATCACGTCAGTACTGAACCTCGTTATGACATGGACGTTTCTCTCCGGAATTTCCCGAGATGAGCCGTCAGATGAAATGGACGATGAGAGTTGCCAGTATTGGTCGATGAAACAAATGGCCCGCTCAATAGGGCTGAAGTCTCTCATTCCACAAGTCGTAATGTGCATTACCATCTTACTTTCTTCAACATTCCTTTGTCTTAACCGACTCAAAACAGGCATCTCTGAGGAGGGGAAGGATTCGTCCAATCAGAACATCGCAAAGGATATAGTTTTGCCTCTGTTATCAACTTTACTATTTCAAGTCTTCTATTTCATATTGCGGTTGTCGATGTCGCGCTGCACGTGTGGCTGGTTCACGCTGCTGTCGCGGAGGATGGGGAGCACGCTGGAGCTGTGTTGGATCAAGTCTATGTTTGTGGTCTCTTCACAAATTCTCTGTACTTTCTACTTGAGGCGTCGGGAACAGTCTCACCTATTCAATGGCCACCATCATCAGACAAACAGTTGAGAAACATGGACCAGTAACTCAACCCCCATTGCGCGGATATAGTCGGATTACCAAAGAACATAACAGAGTTAATAAAAAAAAAAGAATTCTTATATGACCTTCGTTAAGTCTGTTTTGTGGTCTATATACATGGAAAGCTTGGCACCACGTGCGCAAGTAGCTCCACAGGGGGGGGGGGGGGGGGGGGGGGGGCGGACACCAGAAATGGGCTTCACACATTGTACCCATGTCGGGAATCGAACCCGGGCGAACACTTTAACCGCTTGGCCACCCGACCGCCCCTCCAACGCTTGGTCAACGGTGATGAGAGGTGTCAGTACACGAGACTACACATTTTTATCCTTAATTACCCAACACAGAATACCACATAAGTAAGTAAAACGCTATCTTTATAATTGGATTTCTTATTACCAAGTCCACGTTTTTATTCCAGGGCCATAGGGACGTTGGGGTAGCCTAGTGGTTAAAGCGGTCGCTTTTCACGCCGAAGACCCGGGTTCGATTCCCCATATGAGTACAATGTGTGAAGCCCATTGTAGTATCACCCGCATGAATATTGCTTTAAAAAAGGGCGTAATACCATACTCCTTCACTTCAGTGTCGTAAGCAATATGGAAATATTGAGCTGAGGCTATAATATGAAAACACAAACATGGATACTATCTGCTTGTCCAAGAAGCTATATTTAAAGAAAACTGTGAACCACGGCCTGATGCAAATTTTCTACATAGATCTAGACGTCATCAAAACGATACGTGAAAATTATGTACCAAATTGGTAGGACAGATTAACTATTTTAATTTGAAAGAAACCTCTTCATATAGTATACATCATACAGCTGTGTGTTAAATTAGCTATGGTCGCCATTTCGCCAAGTCTACCCCCTCCGTTTTAACAGTGTCTACGTTATTTAGACGTCCTTAACATCAATTTGTGCCTTCCCTGTCCCGAAGAGCCTAAGTCAACGCATGGGAGTCATTTTCAATGTTGTTTATGATGTGCACATAGGGGAAATAGTTGATCAACTCAAAGGTCAGAAGGTCAATGAGGCTAATTGGGAAGGTGAGGTGAGGTGAGGTGAAATGGGGTTTAACCCCCTGGATGCCAGAGGGACATATATGTCCTTCCTCTACAACCCTCACTTTGAAGTCGAATAAAATTCAAAATACATCACCAACACAAATACACTTCACAATTTTGAATAAGGTGGGACATTTCCTGTTCTGTGATATCATCCACTGGCATTTTAGGCCAAGCAAAAGTACTGAAAATGACCTCTGAAAAATAGGTACATTGTAAATGTCGCCATTTTTTACACATTACTAAATCACCGCTCACGGCGTTATTTACAGCATGTTTTGAAATCTATATTTAGGATATCTACTCGGAGAAATGAATTTCAAAAATAGCATATTAGTGATCACGGGTATCTGTCTTTTATGAAAACACCAATGATCATTCCAAAACGTCTCCAATAACCCGAAAATCGTTTAGAATGTTTTGGAAAATACGCAAACACGAACGCCGAAGTGAACTTTCCGCCATATTGGCTAGTGTTTACAAAATCACGTTTCGGGTACACCGGTTATGAGGCGCCTGTAACATCGCGTATATGTCAAACTTAGCTGCCATGAACACATCCTTGAAATCCTCATACATTTTAGGATCAAATGACCAATGGTCTCTGTCACCAATACAAAGTGGCTGGATGAAATCAAGCAAAATATGTTAGTTGTGAAAACGAACGCTGTCCTCGAAAAACTGCACTTGTTTGAAATGTAAACAAAGCAAAAATTCAGATTTTACACAGTGTAGAATTTTCTCCTATTTTGAGCTATCCATTCGTCTATTCGTTCAAGATATAGGCTCAACATTTTCAGAATATGCATGGGAAGAGAATCGTAGGAAGAATTAGGGAATTTCAAATAGATACATTGCAATGATTTGATATTTTCAACAGAAGTTGTCAAAGTTACCGTTCTGGTTGACGCCATGACTGACGCAAAATCACGCACAACGACAACGGTATTTATCGGAATTTCTGACTATTTCCGTTTGTTTCAATGAAAATTATGACAACAAACAACAGTACATAGATTGTCAGAATGTTTCTGATTACTTACATGTCACATTTATGTTTATACGATCCCTGAATCAACGAAAGTCCCCTGGTACAATCCCGCGTACTGTTGACAGTGTACACGCCATTTTGTAAAAGTGGGTCACAGGTAGTGATGTCATACGTCAACATTGTTGTACATATTTGGTAATTTCATTGAGGTGAAGGTCCTTGAATGAGAGTGCACACGATCATTGTATCATGCTGTCTACAGTTTCAGTTATGGTGTATATTTTGCATGTCTTTTATACATTTTTTCATTCACACAATTAATTTCACTTTGGATATTTGTCAATGTTCAAAATGAAATCATACGTACATATAGGCCACAACATGTATGAAGGAACCTTTGATAATCTCCTGTTTGTTTGAACATTGTTTACATAAGAATGTGCATGATAGGTTTATAGTGTCGACTACGATATTTCTTATTTCCTTTGGACAAGTGTTACAAGATGAAGTGTAAATGTAACTGCAGCATGTACGTATTTCTTTGGATGTGTAATAAGTCAATATTATAAGATCATATAACCAATGTCCATGAATAGACGTTTCATTTTATTTTATAACTAAAACTGATTATATTACTTTAACAAAATGGATAATATTTTTCGGTAAAATATTTGCACACATTTCTATAATGTCTTGGTCTTGGAATTGTCTTTTATGTCGTTAGATACAGAGAAAAGTGATATCTAACGATTCGCCAGGTGCGCGTTAGTCACAAACAATTTACGAATTATTCCTCTCGTTTTGCATTATATAATCAATGGTTTCATTCTTTTGTCAATATTGTGATCACAGGATAGTAAACAGTTTACTTTATTTCTCCAGGAATTGTAAAATGTATAAAACACATGCCAGGTACCCTGTTGGTTCAACCGTATACGATTATCCTGATAATTCTATACCAATAGAGCTTTCTTTGCATCTTTTATTGTGTAAGAAATAATAACATAATAATGAACAAATATATGTCCAATATTGAATATATGTTTGGTTGTTTTGAAATATTCTTTTGGGAATTTTATTACGTAAATTTATGCTAAACAGGTGCGTGTCTTGTCCAATTAAGATACACGATAAACTATCTAATTGTTTACATATTCAAGACATTATTAGCTTGGTGAGAGCAGTAATTTTATGTTGTGTCGGAAAAGCGTCAAATTCCGTTCCACACATCGAGATTTTCCATACCATGAACGAAGATTAGGGGAGATATATATTAATCAAAATACCAGTGTCGTCTTTTTCCGACGTTATCAAAGACATAAAACCAGCCATGACGTCAAAAGGAATGGTTTTATTTTTAGAGTATTTCATTACATTTGATGATAAGGCTTGTGCTCCATTAATAATGATGCAACATAAGTCAAATTACACTTACACAATCAGGAGAATGTTGGAATCTAAGGACTAAGTTATAGGTTAGATAAGGCCATCCATTTCTCTATTAACTCCTTTTTAATGAAGTACGATTTCATAATTTCTTATGGGTATATTTTATAACTAAACGTGTACAGTTTCAATATCGATATTTGTGTTGGAATAGTTTGGTTCCTCCTGAACAAAACACCACGAAAATACATTGTCCTTACCCACAGCTAATTCTCACCAAGTGACCTGAGTTACAACAAACTAGAGCTAAGCATAGCGGAGTTATGTCCCCTTTTCTTTGTACGCGTGTAACCTCTCTGTCACCTTTTGACGTCATAGAGAAAAAGCAGTTTTCGTCATTTACGGCATGCTATTTTTGGAATTGAATGTATGTCGTTATACAAACGCATATAACTCCATTTGATATGTAGTTATGTCCTTCAGATATTAGGCAGTATTTTGTTCGCTCACAGTTTCCGTAAAGCTTCTTAATTAAAAAAATTGTCGCACAGTACTTTTATCGGTGTACGATAAAAAGCGGAGAAATTTACTGTTTTTCAACGCAGAATATATTCTCGGACAACACTTAGGAGTGTCTTTTTTTGTAAACCGGTTTGATATTTACAGTTAAATTTACACCATCAAATAGGAAATTTAATATTCTTCATCTCTGCGTAATTTTATAGCCAGAGGTAGATCCAGTGCCGCGTGAGCGCAATTCTCGCACAACCTTCACTTTTCCGATCTTAGGAAAATGTGCGTCAGAAAAAAAACTCGGCATCCAGAGGGTTAACGTCGCGTCCAAGATTATTGCACTTATATAGCGACGTGCGTGTGCGTGCGTGCGTGTGTGTGTGTGTGTGTGTGTGTGTGTGTGTGGCTGCTTGTACTAGTCCGGACTGATGCCGATATATAGTGCTGGCTAACTGAGATACCATGTCGCAGTTTAACATGAATACCCCCCAACACAGTATAATGACACCGAGCCGACAAGTCCTTGTTTTAGCCCCTTAATGCCGAACGCAAGGCAGGGTAACAACAAGGATAATCTTTTAACGTCTTTTGGTATGACGCGGCCTGGGATAGAACCCCGGACCCTCTGCCCTCCGGGCGGACGCTCTGCCACTAGACCACGGAGGCGGTCGATGGTTCACCTTTAGCCTCAGTGCAAAAGTATTTTTTCTTGATGTGTCCAGAGACTATATACAGATATATGGTCTCTCATGTGTCAAATGATATCTTGAATAATTGCATGTTGATATAAGGGTAACGCTATTTTTCAGGGCATTATCATTTGCAGAAGCCCGAGGTTTTCCATTAACTGCCCGACGAAGGAGGGCAGTTGAAAAGACCGAGGGCTTCTGCAAATGATAATGCCCTGAAAAATAGCGTTACCGTTATTATAGCTAAAATGGATGGAATTTGTTATCAAATAAAAAGAAACAACAATGTCGATTTTGAAACATTTACTGCAATCAACACGAATGTCACTGACCCACTTTTACAAATATGGAAACGTCATAGAACAAACCGGATGACGTCACTATAATGCGTGACGTCACCTATCCCTATCCTATGACGTCACCTAACA